TGTAGGCCTGGCTGGCTTGGGAGTCACAGAGATCCTCCTGCCTCTCTCAGTGCTGGGATTAAAGGTATCTATCACCATCTCTGGCTATAGTCCCACATTTATTTATGTACATGTACATATGTGAGTACATAACACATGTATGTGGATGCCTGTGAGACCAGAAGAGGGCATCAGATCCCCTGAAACTGGAGTTACAGGTAGTTGTGAGCCACCCAACTTGAGTGCTGGGAGCAGAACTTGGCTGTGCCTGAGAGCAGGAAGTACTCCTTAACCACTGTACTATCTCTCTGTTCTGTACTATTTCTCTATTCCCTCTTTCAGGAAAAGCTCAAAGTCCTTTTTTAAAAATCACATCCTGTATCCCCTCAGTTCCCTTTTCTGCTGTAATAGAGGATTTACTTTTCCAGTGGACCATGTCACATCACATACATGATGGCTACCAGCTTTGCAAAGCTCACAGCCCAGCAGCCACATTACTGAGAAAAGAAGATCTTTACCTTAACGTTAGGAGAAAGTCTGGAGGAGGACTCTCATTGGTAGGGAAATGGTCACACATGAGTATATGGGTGTCATGTACTCCTGAAACACACACACTGTGGTTAGAGTTTTGTGAGACTGGTTATTTGCGAATTTTTTTCTCATTGTCAACTAAGTAAAGCGATACTGGAGCTAGCTATGAAGGAGAAAAAGACATTTTAGGGTGACATATTGCAAAAAGATATTTTCAGATGAAAAATATAACTTGTGAGAAGGCTGGGAGTTGTAGGTGGTTGCAGAGTAAAAGTAGATGCTTATAAGTGTTGCTTGAACTAGACTGGGGAGTGTGAGAAGTAAGAGGGGAGAGAGTTAATGCCAGAGACAGGGAAAATGTGTCATAGAGCTTTAAATAGGAAAATGTAATAGGGTAGAGGCTAAGTGATTGACAGATGTTTTACTTTGAGATTAAACAAAATTGTGTGAGTCTTAACCTCTGTACAGGAATAAGGTAGTAGGGTATTATACCAAATATTCCTATATATGTTGGATTTGGGTGGCTCAGTGGTAGCACAATTGCCCCAAAAGGGCCTGAGCTCCGTACTTAGCATCACATACATATATACACACAATTCCCATCAAAAAATGGAAGGTCATACTGTAGCCTGCTTTTTAAAAATAAAATAAAATTGCCTACTAACAAAAGTGTTGACACGTCCTAGAGGGGGAAGAAGTAGTGACAGGCATGAAGTGACCATAATTTAACTGATACAAATGACAAGAGAGAGGCAGCATGTCTAGCTAAAGGGAGAGGACTTCACAAAAGATGAAAATTGGTGATTATGAGATATTGGTAATATCCCAACTCAAAGTGTTAAAATGATTAAGATGTCATCTCGCATTGGGAGGGAGAGGCCGTTCAGCACAGAGAAGGACGTCCAGGACCTGTGTGAATTCAGGCTGTTCACAAGCCTGGAGTATGAAGGGATCTGGTTCACAAACTATACAGCCGTGGAGATAGTCACCAGAGCCTGTGAGATGCTATCCTGGGCTATGTCCCTTGAGCACATTGTGGAGTCCCATTCTAGAATCGGGGGGAGGGGGTTAGAAGTTACTAGAGTAAAAGCCAGTAAGACAGATCAGGGTTGATAATAGCAGAAAGACAGCAGTGGCTCACGCCCTTGGTGATTTGACCATTGAATTAGCTCCACAGCCAGGGTCTCTGTACCTCTTCCCCCATCTAGAGTCTCCTTCAAGTTATCCATACACTGGTTTACACTGGATATCTATACACAAATCCCCATGGAGGTGGTGCCTTCTTTCTTGTCACGTGTTCCTCCCTGACAATTTACACTCACATTCTTTGAAAAGAAAAACTCTGAGATGTTGATAACACAAGGCAACAGACCAAAATAGGACAACAGATAGACCTAGGTCTTTTGGCCCTTTGATACTTTGATTGTTACATAATTTGAAGGAATATTATGGGGAGGTATGGACTAAGCTCTCCTTGAAAGGTTGAGAATTTGTAAGGACCCAATTTTGACTTTGAGTTTCGAACCCTTTATGAATGATGATAAAGCAGCTACTTTGCTCAGTTCCCTACCTCTGTCCCTGTAAAGTGTCCTTGCTTATTCCCATTTGTCACAGCTCCATTTCATCATTGTTTTATCCTTCCCTGATAGCTTACTCTCTACCCACTCGCACCCATACCACTACCAACTACCTGACTTTGGGGAGCGCCTGTGTTTAAGGCCACATTGTAATCTCGTGTTTTCCTTGGGTTTCATGCTATAGCTTATCTGAGGCTGAAATGGGTTATTTAAGCAGGATTTTACTAAAGTTTTAGGTAAAGTAGAAGGAAGGTTCTACCAGTGGATTGTCAGGATGACAAATTTCTGGGACCTTTCTTGAACTGTAGTGTCAGTGCAAGTCGAGAGGACTTACCCTCTTTCCTCCTGTTCTTATTTCCTCCTATATTTGTCTCAATCATGAGAGATACTAATGCCTCCTTGAGTTCCCTTTCAGAATCCATTCCCTTCCTTCAAGAAACAAAGCCCTAAGTTTAGCTTATCTTCCACTACTGTACATGTTAAATATGTATAGATAAACACAGTTCAGGTGCTCTGTTATGAAATATCCATAGTAGTGATTTATGGCACATAGTCTTCTGCATTTTGCTCTTACTAGTCATTGTGGATTTTAAGAATTTATTGTTTATGCTTCTACTGCTAATTTACTCATTTTTATTCTGTTATATAAATAAGTCACAACTCATTTCTCAGTATCCCTACTAAAGCATATGTGAGTTGTTTTAGTTACATGAACATGATTGATTGTTTTGTGTTACGACTATATTTGAGATTCTTTTTGTTTTGTTTTGTTTTTCTTTTGTTTGTTGCCATGTTTGCTCTTGTTTTGTTGGTTTGGAGGTTTTTTGGGGTGTGGGTTTTTTGAGACAGGGTCTCCCTGTATCCCTAACTGGCCTAGAACTTACTAGGTAAACCAGGCTTGCCTGGAAATCACAGACATCCACCTGCCTCTGCCTCAGAGAATGCTGGGATTAAAGTATGTGCCACCATGCCTGGCTAAGAATTTCTTTAGATGTGCCTGAGGGGAGAATTGTGACCAGGGCTACCTAAGGAGATACTCTCAGAAAAATATAAATAAAAATGAAAATTGCTATAAGTCAGGCCCGTCTTTACTTGATTAGAAATTGCCAAATTGTTCTTCAGGATAGTTGTTCCAATTTACATATTTTCCAAGGGTACATGTGAGTTCTACATTCTTATATCAAATAGCATCTCATGGAATTCAGTTTGCACTTTCTCGTACTTTCCATAGTCCCAGCTGGCCTGGAACTCACTATGTAGACCAAGCTGGCCTTGAACTCACAGAGATCCACCTGCCTTTGCCTCCTGAGTGCTGGGACTAAAGGTGTGCGTCACCATGCCTGGCCGCTTCCTTAATTTTCTATAACAATACTGTTTGGCTTTTTTATAGCATTTATCATAAGCTATTATGATGTGTTGGCTGGTTTTTGTTTTCATTGTTTGACTCCCTATTTAGAACATAATATTTCTAAGGCAAAAATCACATCCCTCTGGGTTGCTTTCTGGTCCTCAGAGCTCAGACCAGAGTGTGGCATATAGTAAGGGTTCAGAAAATAGATATTTGATGAACTAACTTGGGGTATGGAGGGAGGGTCTTTCGGTAAGTCTGGTATATCTATAAATGCCTGTGCAATAACAAGGATCTGTTTCTCTATATTTTTCCTATCCATCTCTATGCCTTGTTTCATCACCATCTCACAATATCTGATTTTATTCTTCATTTCTTTCCTTTATTTAAGCTGTCCGATGGGCTTCAGTAGGCAAAATCATTAGCCAGGAATAACACATTAAAACATGCATACCATGAATCAGTAGCAATATCTTTCTGCTCTGGCCTGGAGCCTAGGATTTGAGATAGGCTGAGGTCCTATTAGGCAGAAATTGTCTTTGCACATCAGAGAAGCCAAAGCTATGATGAGGTTCATTATTACATAGAAAAGTTTATTGAAAGCCCTTTGCATTTATTGGGATTCTTACTGGGAGAATTAATCCTGTCTCATCCAATGTGAGACTTTCTGAGACAGATGCAGACTTCATCATCACAAATTCGTGAGGCTAGGTGTTAATTTTTTTTTTTAGAAATGTAAAAGTTGGAGAGGTCTAGAATAAATCTCCGTGTTCTGCCATGTCTCTTTCCCGTGCACCATTCTTAGTGCTGCAGGCATTCCCAGCAGCACCAATTACAAACCTTCTGGCTTTACTTGGTTCGCTGAGCTGAGCTCTGCTCTGTTCTGACTACTTCTAAAGCTTAACTTTGCCTTGGTTAACATCTTATGAGATATATGGAGCAAACTAGTCAGTACAGCTTAAACCAGAAGCAATCCAAGATATCCCTGTGCTCAGAGCACACACAGAGCTAAGACCAGGAGTTAGAGTAGTGGGCAGTGGGCATGCCTCCTAAAAGCTTCCTCGGTTACTTGTAAACACCAAGCCCAGGATGGAGTCTTTCAGTCCCAGACACAAATTCCTAAGGAAGGATGCTGATACCACATGACCAGATGCCTTCCTACCTCTGGGAAGCCATGGCCAAAAGATTGTAATTCTAACCAGACACACTGTTTGGTGTCTACTGAAATTATCCACAACTGGACATATGTTCAAGAGTTTTTTGAAGGCTATGACTTTTTATCCAGGAACAACTTTGTATCTTCTGTTCCCTTAACTGTTCTTTTTCTAAGACTTAATATGACTCTGTCCAACAGCCAATTGCAAATTTATTCTTAGCAGATCCTTGATTTCTTAAACTCCTAAATGAGCTTTGAGGATGACAAGGGGTATTTTTCTATGTATGTGTTTTTTTTAAATTATCTATCTGGTTAGAAGGATTAGAAAGTACAAACACTATATAACACAGCATCTCTCTGGTACACTTATATTTCATTAAGCCTTTGCTGAGACTTTATCTTTTTGCAGGAACATGACATAGAAACACCCCATGGTATGGTCCACGTCACCATAAGAGGCTTACCAAAGGGAAACAGACCAGTTATCCTGACATACCATGACATTGGACTCAACCGTATGTATTTGATTTACAGGTTCACTCTTTATCATGGTGCATAATCTTTGTATATTAAGGAAACAATAGTATTCTAATAGAGATAGTCTTCCTCTTTCTTAACTAGCTGTCTTTATTGCTAATATTTATCTATAGTTAAAATTAAAAATTTCTGGAAATTGTGCAGGACAATGTGTTTTCAAGGGTACTAGAATTATATTTTGCATGTCATGTCTGCTTAATTATCAAAGATTATATAATGAACTGATTAAGAATATGGAGCCAGGGACTGGAGAAGGGTTAAAAGCACTGGCTGCTCTTGCAGAGGACCTGGGTTCGATTCCCACCACCCACATGATGGCTAACAGCTGTCTCTAATTCTAGTTTCAGGGGATCTAATGCCTTCTTTTTATCTCTACAGGCATTGCATGACACAGTGCACTTAAACATGATGCAGGCAATGTATTCATACATATAAAATAATAATAAATAAAATATTTTTTTAAAAGAATGTAGAGCCAAAGTCTGTTTTACTGATTTCTTGGTTTTGTTGGGTGGTACTTGAATTGAACGCAAGACCTTGCTCATGCTAGGTAAGTGTTCTACCACCAAACTATATATCCCCCTAGCCCATGTTTTCTTGTTTGAGGTTAGAAAATTCAGTTTTAACTTAATTTTGTTGTGAGAAACTCACTGAATTATTAAAAGTATACTTTTTGCAGCCTGTATTTGTTACTTTAAGTAACCTCCTGTGAAACTGGAGCTGTGGTCCCCTCACACAAGACTGGTCCCTACCTGTAAGCCATGATTCCACATTCCTCTGGTGGTAGGCTGATGGTGGAGCAGATTGGAGGATGGAGAACTTCCTGATATTGGGGAGCAGTTTCAGTCCTCTCGGAATGACTGCATTCCACACAGCTGCCTCCCCCGAGGTCCCAGGTTGTGTGTGGTAATGACTTTGTCTCTGTGTTAGACTGATGCTAGGGACAAGGGAGTTCTTGGTCATTTACAGATTCTAATCTTGAGAGGACTGAGTCTCTAGAATTGTCTTCCCACCTTCCACATGTGGTTGAGGGGATCCAGTCCTTGATGTTGCACCTCTCCCATTCCCAGGCACCAAGGGATTTTCCATCATTTTTCTGCAGCCCAAGTGTACCTTTACCTGTGCCCTACAGAAAATGTAAAACACCTAATTGGACTAAAAAATCACAATCTGGGAAGTTAAAAAAAAAAAAGACAACTTTAATAGTTAAACTGATATAATTCTCAAAGTAAAAATATGTAATTGTAATTAAGAATATAAATTCATAATTTTATATGTCTACTACAATTTTGAGTAATTTTTCCTGACAAACTGCACTACTAAACTTCAACAATACTGTGAAATTTATCACTGCTGCTGTAATGTGAGCTTGGCATTTACTTCCTTCCGAATTCTCCAACTTATACAAAACTTTTCTATGTAATCATGTTATTGTTTCCAAAAGTAATCCTAATAAAATTTTTAAAAAGTAAAATAATCATTAGACAATTTGTAGTAGGTATATGTGAAACACATGAATTTCACATTCAAACTTGAGTTCCAAACAGAAGATATCTCATTATTCACACACAGATATTCTAAACTGCAAATCCATAGCACCTCTGTTAACAAGCATTGCAGAAAAGAGATACTAACATGTAGTATGAGATTAGGCTGTAAGCCAGGCATGGTGTAATCTCAGCACTTGAGGAGGCTGAGATAGGATTATGTTCTCAAGGCTAGGCTCTAGCCATAGTGCAGAGTCTGAAACCTGTAACCTTCATGCTGCTCTGGCTTTCAGAGATGGCCTACATTTGAGTTGACAGTCCAAGGCTGGCCCTTAGCATGAGAAGTAATGAAGGCCCTATACTAAGAGGGTAGAAATGACACAGCATCCCCTCTGAGACCACAGCACTTTATTTTGTTTTGTTAGTTTTTTGAGACAGAGTCTCCCTGTAGCACTAGCTGACGTGGAACTCACTATATGGACCAAGCTGGCCTCAGTCTCACAGAGATCTACCTGCCTCTGCCTCTCAAGTGCTGGGATTAAAGGGCTGTGCCTTCACACCTGACCCTTGTTTTGTTTCTTGAGATAAGGTCTTCCCTGTAGCCACAGCTGGCCTGAAACTTGATAATGTAGACCAGACTAGCTTGCTCTCATAAAGATCTGTCAGCTTCTGACTCCCAAGTGCTAGGATTAAAGGTATGCTCCACCACACTTAACAATACCATGACACTTTTGGTAAGAGACATGCTCCCATGTGGGAAATGTCAGCAGCTGAGGATCCCTCTAGCCAGGGTCATAGGGAATGGTCAGCATCTTCTTGTCAGAGCCAGGAATAAGATGCATGTAAAACAGCGTTATGGATATGAGATCATTTTGTGGATCACCAAGAGACCCAACAAACATCCACAAAGTGGTTTCTATTCTGCATACATTGCATGGAGTTGAGAATGAATTGTTTTCCAACCACCAAAGTGCCTCCTATTGAGTCTTCCGGCAGCTTAAAGCACACACTTTGTCCAGACTCCTCACATAAATGGAATTGTGATTAGAAGGAAGTGAACGAACAATGTCACAACATTGCCTGAGCAGAGGAAAACTGGGGAGAGATGGAGGACTTGTGATCTACGGTTATTTTTATCTTATAGATAAATCCTGTTTCAACACATTCTTCAACTTTGAGGATATGCAAGAGATCACCCAGCACTTTGCTGTCTGTCATGTGGATGCCCCAGGCCAACAGGAAGGGGCACCCTCCTTCCCAACAGGGTAAGACCACAGGGGAGATCTCGGATGCATGCAGTCCAAAGAGCCAATGGCTGGGCTAAAGGGAGAGCAGTATTGTGTGTCCCTCCCACTTGATGGGCTCACGGTTGACAGGTGAAGTCCCTTGCCTGTGGTCTTCCTGTTTTCTGCCTTTGGTCTCAGAAGCTTGTGTGTAAGTCTGCTGGGGGATACTGGATGTTTTCCCATAGCCAGGAATGTCTCTGCACAGCTGGTGGGACCTGGGTTTCTATAATCAGAAAGCTTAATGTGTCTGAAACACCCACTTCCACTGACTTTGGTCTGTCCCCTACTCATCTCTTTTACATCTGTCATTTTTGTGTCTCCAGAACTGATGACTACATAGGCCTGGACTCAGACTCCTTTGAACCTCCCTGGGAGGACCTCTCCATCTGAGCTCCCATCTAGGGATGGATTTGGGGTATCTGGGTAACCATTTATTCTGAAGCCGGGGGTACCTCCTGACTGGCCTTGGCACTCAACATTATCCTAAACCTTCTCTGCGTGTCAGAGTCCCAGGCTTCCAATCGGACATGTTGTCAATGGAGAGGGCTTTGGGAGGAGGAGTGGGAGCACATGCTGTGCAGGGCTCATGCTTCCTCTCCTCCACTCCTCCAGAATCGTGTGCTGCCTTGGCCAGTGACTGTGGTAGAATACACACTGCAGGCAAGGAAGAGCCTGCACCTGCCTAGAACCCTCCAGATACTGCTTCAATGCTTTGTCTCTTAGCTCACTTGATTCACACAACCATACGGGCTACACACACCAGTACACAAATAAGGAGAAGAGCTGGACTTTCAACCCAAATAGGATAGCTGCAGAATCTGTTTACTCTCTCCTTGTTGTTGTGCCTCTCAAATGCGAGTTTTCTGGTGGCCACTGGATATCAAACCAGCTGTTCTCTGATGGTGCACAAATAGTTTTGAGAACACTGCATCTGTCCTTAACAGAGCTAGGCTGACTTCCCTGTTGGTTGTAGAGCAGATCCTGCCTCATATGGCATATGGGAGGCCATTTACTCTGTGTGTGTGTGTGTGTGTGTGTGTTACAGAGTTCAAGACCACTGGGAAAAGACCACCAGACTCAAGTCAGATTTTAGTTAGCCAAATTTATTTGCTACAGCAAGACTGACAGTCTCCAGAGGCCAGAGAAGGTACTGCAGTGAAGCAGGGAGGGGAAGGGGGCTTTTAAAGGCAGAAACCACAGCTGCTTCATTCCTGTGGAATTAGTAGTTGCACAGACAGTGGGGTCACACTGACCCTTAAATGCAGCAATAAGCAAGTTTACAGAAGCCAAAACAAGCAGTTGTTAATCATTTTCTTAACAGATGTATAGA